TAAGTCTGTCAAAGTCAGTCAGTCCTATCTCCCTGTCACTTCTGTCCAGGTCGGTAGGATTCAGTGTATGTGGTCATAAAACCGTAAGTCTAGCCCGAGTAGTGAGTCAAAACCCCTCGATAGAAGTTAACCTGTTCGGTCTACGTGTTGAGGCGCGGAATCGTTGTTGATTGTGCACTTTCACCATGGTGACCACCCGGACTGGGTTTAGTACCACGCCCTACAGCAAGGAGCAAGAAGAGAGAGCTGCAGCCCTTCTGCGTGAAAGGAAGGAAAAGACGGAGAAAAGGGAATTAATCAAGCAGGCCAAGATGCTGGCCCTGCTGGAGGAACAAGAGGCAAAGAAGAGGCAGATGGAGGAGGAGCTGAAGAAGGAGCAGGAGGAGAAGATGGCGGCTATACAAGAGGAGGTGGAGAAAGAAGAAGAAGAGGAGAAAGTAGAGGAAGAAGAGCCATTGGAGAGAAGCAGAGGGGAAGCGAGCACAAGCAAAGAAATTGAGATTGCAAGGATTGCAGAAGAGTGGGCCGCACATTTGGAGTTGGGGGAAGATAGGGAGGCCGAGATGGCCATTCCTCAGGAAGAGAGAGAAGCAGCAAGGAGGCAGATTGAGACGGAAAGGGACCCGATGAGGAGAAAGGCGAAGGAGGAAGAACAGCAAATGGCATGGAGATACAGTCTGTCCCAAGAGAGTGTAAGACGATTGGAAGCGGCAGAAAAGGAGGAGAAGGATCTGAAAGCGGCGGAGACTAGGATGGGAAAAATCAGGGAAGAGACGGAGATAGCTACTAAGCTCAACACCCTGACTCAGAGCGTACAATCTTTACTAATTGCACACCACGAACAAGTGCAGTATATTCGCAATTTAGAAGTAAAGGTAGATGCAATGCGCGCTGGGTTCAAAGATTTTGCGAGTGACATGATGAAATACTTATTGGCCGAAGTCCACAATGCAATTAGTAAGACCCGAGAGTTTTGTACTGGCGCCTTCAAGTTAGCGACTCCTAAGGAAGAGGAGCCAGCCCCACCACGCCGTGAGAAAGTCAAGGTTCGTTTTCCCGAAACCTTCAGTGGAAAGAAGGGTGAGGATTTCGATAACTGGGAGGCCAACGTGCACTCCTACTTGTACTTACAGGGAGTCACGCCTGAGGACCATGTTTTGGTTGCCTTCCAAGCCCTTTGAGACGAGGCGACTAGCTTTGCTAGGTCGCTAGCCCGCGCTGCGAATTGTGATAACGATATGGTGATGTATTCGAGACTTACACCTCTCTCGGAGTTCCTGAAATCGCTCAGGGAGCGATTCTCGGATGTGACGCGGGGGCTCAAAGCCTCCGACAAACTCCAAATGATACACACTCGCCAGTGGAAGAGTGTGCACGCCCTCAAGTCCGCCACGGACGAACTGATTGCGGTCCCTGGGCATGGAGTAACCGATGCCCAACTCCTTAACCTCTTCTACCGTGTCCTGCCTGAAAATATTCAGGGACACTTCTTCGAAAAGAAGAATCAGCAGGGCATGACTTATGATACACTTAGTCGGGAGGCAGTTGCATTTGCCGCCCAAGCGTCGCCAGTTACCACGTTTTGGCACAAAGATCTGTCAAAGGGAAAAACGTGGAAGGGACGCACCATCTCGGGCCAAATCAAGGCCAAAGATAGTTTAATTCTGACAATGGAGGAAGGCGGTGCTGACGAGGTTCCCTACTCTGACATCGAGTGGGGACTGGAGGAGGAGAACAGTGGCGCAGGCCAGGGGAGAAACTACGCTGCTGTTGCGGCTGGAGGGAGGCCGCAAGGAGGAGGACAACGGTCCAGCCAGAATGGTCGGGCCGAGGACAGGGCGGCCAGGGGGTTGGCGGCAACGGCAACCGCCAAGAGGGAGGAAGGGGAGGTCCCCCGCCTAACCGTTCATGTTTTAGTCGGTCACCCCCCAGACAAGGAAGGTGGCACCCAGGCCAGCCCGAGGGCCGACCCTGGCTAGATCTGGGTAGAGATCAGGGAGTATGGCAAGCACGCATCAACAATTCTCAATGCGTATTCTGCGGGGACCCAGGCCACATTATCAAATTTTGTCCCAAGTATAGGGACCGTGCTGCGTCTGGGGCAGCAAAAGACTGCCGCCGGTAGGGGTCGCAACTGCCCCTACCCCAGGAATATGTGGATCTGAGCGTGCGCGCGAAGTAGAGTCTCCCACTCCACATATCTCCGTGGCAGAGGTTGCAGCCCAGCGTTTAGTAAGCTGTCCAGAGACTGCTTGTGTTAGGGTCTCTCTTGACGCTTTTAGCCGAGGAGTTAAGAGAGAGGAGGCAAGTCTGGGCCAAGATGAAGAAGGATAGTAAAGGACAGCTAATCCTCGCAGATGTAGAGATATTTAGAGCTAGAGTAGGAGCCCTCATAGACAGCGGGGCGACTAGGAGCTATATTAGTCGTAAAGCGCTGAGGAAGTTGAAGTTGAACCTAAAGGTCCAACGACTAGAAGAGCCTGTGGTCAGCATCCTCGCAGACAATAGTAGGATGTGCGTCGAAGAGTATGTTGAGGGGGTCCACGCCTACTTTCATCTGGAGAAAGATGGCAAGGTAGAGAAGTTACTCCACTCCCTGACCCTCCTTGTAGAAGAGAGTCTTCCGTTTGATATAGTTTTAGGCAGAGATTGGGGAGAGGCAGCAGGAGCCACACTTCACCTCAGAGAGCATGAGTGTAGGCTCCCTAGTGCGTCAGGCGAAGTCAAGAAAGTCCGCTTGTTCCATGAGTCTGGGGTAGATAATCCCCTTGCCCATTGCTGCCTCAGCGCTCTTGCATTCGCCAGGCTTGTGCGAAAGGAGCAGCTTGAAGAGAAGGTGTTCTTGGCCTATGTTAGGTCAGTGTCCGATCAGCCTAAGGAGGAAGAAAAGATCCATCCTGCTATTGTCAGTCTGCTTGAAGAATATAAGGATCTATCTGAACCACGTTCAGGGGTAGTGCCCATAACGATCCATCACTGAATAGAAATAGAACCTGGCAGTAGAACGCCAAAGGGGGCAGTCTAAAGGATGTTTCCCAAAGAGTTAGAGGAGTTACGCAGACAGTTAGATGAGCTCCTAGAAAAAGGATGGATCCGGCCTAGTTCATCGCCGTTCGACGCACCTGTTTTGTTTGTCCCAAAGAAGGAGGGAGAGTTGCGCATGTGTATTGACTACAGGGGACTGAACGCCATCATGATTAAGAATGCAGAGCCATTACCACATATAGATGATTTGCTAGATCGAGTTCAGGGGTGCTGATATTTCTCGAAGATAGATATAAAATCAGGGTACCATCAGATAGAGGTCCACCCTGACGATCAGTATAAGACGGCATTCAAGACAAGGTGTGGGCATTACGAGTTCATAGTGATGTCATTTGGACTTACTAATGCACCCGCAACATTTCAGCGCTGTATGAACGACTTGTTTAGACTCGTCATAGTTTACCTAGACGATATCCTAGTGCTCAGCAAGACCCTCGAGGAACATGAGGGCCATCTACGACAGATTCTAAGTAAGCTCAGAGAGTCTAACTTTAAGATTAACCCGAAGAAGTGCGAATGGGCCAAGACACAGGTCCTTTACCTAGGCCATGTACTAGATGACGATGGCATTCGGCCTGAGGACAGCAAGATAGCATCCATCAGAGATTGGCCAACTCCTAAGACACTAACAGAGTTGCGTTCTTTCTTAGGACTGGCTAACTACTACAGGAAGTTCGTGAGGAACTTCTCTACGATCGCTGCTCCCCTTCGTAGACTATTGAAGAAAGAAGCTATTTGGAAGTGGGATCAGGATTGTACGTCAGCCTTCAAGAAATTGAAGAAGGCTCTGATAGAGTACCCTGTCCTCAAAGTTGTCGATCCATCATTGCCATTTGTTGTTACTACAGACGCGAGTCAGTATGGCATAGGTGTCGTTCTACAGCAAGATGACAGCAACGGATATAGGCCCGTAGAGTTCATGTCAGCCAGGCTGCCTTCAGAGAAAGTCGCAGCATCGACATACGAGAGGGAACTCTACGCTCTCAAGCAGGCTCTAGAGCACTGGAAACACTACCTGCTTGGGAGGCACTTCAAGGTTTATTCAGACCACGAGACTCTTAGATGGCTAAAGACATAGGCCAAGATGACGCCCAAGTTGACCAGATGGGCTGCTGAGATAGACGAGTATGACTTAGTTAAAACCCGTTAAAGGCAAGTACAACGTGGTAGCTGATGCGCTAAGCAGGAGATCTGATTATTTCGGCGCGATAGTACACTATCTAGACATAGGGGCCGATCTGCAGCAGAAAGTAAGAGATGCCTATGCACAGGACCCAATCTACAGTGAGCTGCTCAAGAGAGTAAGGGAAGCCCCGGATAGCGAGCCACACTACCGGACCACGAAAGGGCTACTGTTTTAAAAGACTAATGTCGTTGACAGGCTATGCGTCCCCAGTAGTGAAGAGATCCGTAGTCTGATCTTAGGGGAATGCCACGATACAGAAGGGCACTTGGATGGCAAAAGACTTTAGCTAACCTGATGATGTCCTATACGTGGCCAGGCATGAAAGCAGACTGCATAGAATATGTGCGCAGTTGCAAAGTGTGTCAGCGTAATAAAGCTACGACTAGAGCCCCTCTGGGTCTTCTTAGACCCTTGCCTATTCCCTCAGGACCCGGAGATTCAGTGTCCATTGACTTCATGGATACTGGGGTCAGAAGCAGACATGGAAAAACTCAAGTCATGGTCATAGTAGACAAATTTAGTAAGGATGCAATATTTGTTCCCTTGCCTTCAAAGGCCCGTACAGAGTTAGTTATAAGGAAGTTCTTTGATTTCTGGGTAAGCGAGCATGGTATGCCATTGTCCATAGTAAGTGATAGGGACACCCGGTTTACCAGCCAGAACTGGCAAGATCTTATGAAAGTATACAGGTCTAAGTTGTTGATGTCGTCCGGGCGACACCACAAGACTAGCGGTCAGACAAAACAGATGAATAAGATCTTGCAACAACTACTCAGAATGTACGTTAGACCAGATCAGCTAGACTGGGACGAGTTGCTTCCCAAAGTAGCAAGCGCCTACAACAACAACGTTCGCTTAGCTACTTGCCGGACTCCTAATGAGCTACATAAGTCTTTTAAACCTAGGCGACCACTAGAAGGACTAAACCGGGATCAGATCCAGAGACTTCCACCCGATACTCGAGAGTTCGCGCTCCATCATGAGCAAGAGGTTGCTAAGGTCACAGACAACCTGAGGAAGGCCCAGCACCGCATGATAGAGCAAGCAAACAAGCACCGCCGACCTTCACAGTTTCAGGTAGGTGACCCATTCTGGGTCAAGTCAAAGGAGTTCGCACCGGAGGAAAACATCTCGCAGAAGCTCTCACCTGCATATAGAGGACCGTGGCCTGTCCTAGAAGTCAAAGGAGGAGAGGACKGCCCGTCGTATACGATAGAGATCCCAACACACCTCCACACGTACCCAGTCTTCCACGCCTCTAAGTTGTTACCTTGCACCACGTCTGACAGGTTCCTTTCCAGAAGGTCGATGATTCCTCCAGACATGGATGGCGCGTATGATATAGAGGGCATTGTGGAAGAGGACGTGTTTAGGACAGGAGGCCGAGGTCGTCCCCATAAACAGTACAAAGTTCGGTCCGCATACCAGGAACCTGAGGACGACCGGTGGTTTACAAGAACATAGCTTTTAGAAACCGCTCCCGACATAGTACACGCCTACGACAGGGAAAGAAAAGGAAAAAGTCCTGCCTTGAGTTAGAGGGTTCTCGGAGGACCTCGAATTTAGGACGGCAGGAGTGAAACGGTTTCACCCAGTTGACCTGGTACTGCAGTCACAGAGATTCGATCCCTAGACCTGTGCCCTAACCCTGTACATTGACCCTGTGTGCTGAGTGAGATTTGATCCCTAGACCTACCCTGTACCTGTACATAGACCCCGTGACCTGAGTAGGATTCGATCCCCAAACCTGTCCTATGGCTTAGGTTAGTCTGTAGTTTGGTCAGTAGGACTTGATCCCTAGGTCTGTAGATTAGCAGCTAGGTCTGTTACCAATAGGCCTAGAGAGTCTGTTCTAGAAGTCTCTACCTGTCGAAAGTCTGTAGAGTCTGTAGGTTCTAGAAGTCCGCAGGGTTCTGTAGGGGGGTCCAACCAGCATGTACCTGGGTAAGGGCTGCACGTGGGGAAGGTTCTGGAGCATGCAGAGAGTTCCACACGTTTTGGCCCAGAAGGCCAAACGT